TATTCATATATCCTTTTATAATCAAGATCTTCTTATACATAACTAAGCCATATCATGTCCTTCATACTCCCATATTCTTTTATATCTCGTACACTCATTTCTGATTACTGATCTTCATTGCATCGTCATAACTTTGATAATCCTCTTTACTTATACAAACCTCATTCTTTACCATCTCATATACATTCTTTGCAGTCGGAACTATTTCAACAATTATCAAATCTCAATACTCATCTCACCCCTTTAATATACTTTTCCCCGCTTCAATTTTCATAAGTTCTAACAAAACTTTTAACCTAATTCTCGAAGGTTGTCTTTAACCCTGGCTTATTATCAATTAAATCCTTGTTTAATCTTTCAGTACTAGACTATACTAACTGAGTCTGTCTGACTCTCATCGGATTTGATTCTCTGGCAGAGAATGCAACTAATTCATACCTTGTCTGAAATTGAAAACCAGAATCTCTACCTCTCTTTGATGGTACTGAACTCTATGAAGCACTAATTCGCTTAATCATATGATATTTTTATTCTCCAAACTTTTCATTCTGAGCTCTTTCTCTTTAAAGCTTTAACACAATTAACCATTTCTTGAAACGAGAACAAATTCAAAACATTCAACATTTCTTTTAGTTAAAAGCGCAAGTCCTAAACAACTAATCACATGTATCATTTTCAATCGAATTTAACTCGGCAACAAAATTGATTAGCTTATTAAACTTACAATCATACTCATACAAGGTGTAATTCACTTGTTTCAATTTCGGGCATTCCAGTTTCATCTGTCTTATAAGCTGGTCATCAATGTACTTATTCTTGAATTCTCTTACAAATTCTCACTGCATCATTTGATATTTTCAACGTACTTATGATGGCACTTGTCCATCATATTCTAACTTACCAAAGTAGTAACAAAACTACTCAATTCAACATCTCCACTTTGAAGAAATGAAAAACCTTCTATCATATCATTCAACCAAAGGTCTATAACAATAGAACCTTCCTCAAATCCACCCTTGAACTTGGGTGCTCGCAACTTTATCAACTAATTTGATACATTCATTCTATGAGTTAAAGAAGTATAAATTGAAAACACATCAGAACATTCTTCAATCATGAAGAATAATTTTCCAAATTTTATACATGCATTTCCTGAGGTGTTCGCTCTTCTCTCTGCCTGGCCAGGGCAGGTGAATGCTATTACCTTCAGGTTTATTACCTTTCACTTCTTTCAAAGCTCTTATTATCATACTTCTATTATCACATAATAATCTATTTTTTTATTAGCAAGACAGCATACTCCTTACACTATCAGATCAGAATTTTTTCACTTTGAGTTGTCATGTACACTTTTTAAAACACTTCTGACTTCGATTTAAGCCTAGAATCGGCTAAACCGTAGCTCTGATACCATTAAATGTAACACCCCCAACCCGTATCCGACCCGGATACGAGTCCGAAGTGTCACATTGTCTTTTCAAACATTTATTCATATAAAATAGTGAGTAATTTAAAAACTTTTATAACATTGAACTTATTCAAAACGTTTACAAAACTATTCAGAGCTTATACAATATATTCTTTTGATTACATGCCAACTAAAACTTTTATTTATTAAAATACGTATTATTCACCTCTTTTCTGATCTGACATTTGGTAAGGAGAACTGACATGTCTTGCTCCTTATTGCTCTTTACTCTTCTCGAAACCTACGTGTGAAACAATCACACGCTAAGTCATTGACTTAGTGAGGCATATAAATATATAATAAAAACCATAGAACATTTCATATAACAAAACACATACCTGTACAAATACTATCATTATCATTAACATATCTATCATATAATATCATACATTTTTCCAATCAATACCCATTTCATCCGATGAATATGTATTCTAAACATTTGATCATGACATTTCAATATGCATGTATCTATTACACGATAACATATATAATCATATCATGCACATACGAAACTTACCTTCTTGTACCACTTTCACTTTAAAGTTTGTATTTCAATTGCCCATGTATATTATTGAGAATAGAGGTATGTGAGTACATTGAGGTTGTGCACTAATGTTGTCACCACAGCTCGTATCAATTCCCTCATGGGGCACCGAACCTTAGTTCAGTATTCATCCCGTAGGACCACTGTATATGTCTCGTAGGACCACTATGTCCCGAAGGACTACTCCTTAAGAACCACATACATAATACAATGGCTCCAATAAGTGTACCGAAGTACTACATATAGGTTCCACATAATTACATACATGTCCCGAAGGACCACGTAGAACCCTCGACTCTTGGCATGCCAACTATACCTATAGCTCTCATATCATATACTATGGGCATTATTCTTATGTTTCATATCACTTGTTCCTTTTCTTCTGTCACATACCATATGTATGTGTGAACATACATCTCATATCATATAACCTTTATCTCAAGTGCATGTAATCACGTATTACATGTAATCACGTAGATCATTTCATATGGATTATATCATTTCTCATTTTTCATGTAAACACACATGTCATATCTTATTCACATATGTTCATATATACATCATATATCACATAGAATAACATATAAACTTATACATATATTCATGTACATACTTTCATATAGTTCGTCTATCAATGCCCTATAACTTATCTCACATTATTTATATCATGGTTTCATATATTTACTTAATTCAATTTCACATAACTTGTTACCTATATATATTCTTATAACTTATCATCACATAACTCCCATAACATCTTCCTATAGCTTCATAGATCTTTACTATATGACTCATATATTATATGTTCATTTAAGCCCATAACTCTTCCCATATAGCTTATCTTACATGTTCATATAATCACTTCTGTCAATGTCTCCTAATTTATATATTTTCATATTGTCCTATAGGTCAATGTTATTTAACTTGTCTCACTTTTCATTTCATCTCATAAGTTGGTTATACTAATTCTCATATATTTAACTCGTGTAATTTATATCTTGTTATTATATTTTCAACTAGACCTATATCCACATGTTCATAATCACATATGTCTATGTCGTTTAACTTATCCTTTATATCTATATCATCTATTTTATATCATTTTTTCTTGCTATCACATAAGTCCTTGCTATTTTTACATAGTTCGTGATCCTATAGTCAATTATAATAGCATATGTTTATCTTATTTAATATCATATAGTTCTTTAACTCATGTCTTATATCACATATTTATATTATAAACTTATATAATCACATATACTATTTAAACCAATTCACATAGCTTATCACACTAACATATATTCATTCAATTCATGTAACATATGCAATACATATAACATATGTACCCAATTTCATGCACTCATGCAAACATAAGAATCACAATTCAAATAACATTTTTAGGAGTCCCTTCTTACCATAGTGACTCCATCACTGGATCATCGCAAGCCAATGTTTATTTGATACATAAGTACAATTTAAATTGCACTCACCTTAGCTTTGCTTTGATTTGAATCAATCCTAATCCTTTGATTGTTCCGGAAGAAGCTTACTTTTAGTATCTACATAATCACACATGGATCTATATCAGTATTATAACTAATATACTCTAATGGTTCACTCTTTAGACCAAGAGAAAAGTCAATTTCATCTTTTAATGAAGGTATGCATCGATGCACTACTGATGCATCGGTGCATAAAATGTATTCGATGTTGTATTATTACTGGGATGCATCGATGCATGCCTTATGCATCGATGCACTAATTGCATTCGATGTTTCCTTATTAATAGGATGCATCGATGCACTACTGATGCATCGATGCACAAATTGCATTCGATGTATTTAGTTTAAAAGAGTGCATCGATGCACTACCAATGCATCGATACACCTTCAAACAATTTCTGGGTTTTAACATTGATGCATCGGTGCACTATGAATATGCATCGATGCATTCTGCCCAGAACCTCCTTTTGAACCCAAAAAATCCTTCTTTTTGGATTAAATCCTTCATATTTCAACCCCTTTCATATTCCTAACTTTCATATACCTAATTAAACTCATTAATATTCATTTATCTCATCTTTAACCTTAATATCCTCTCCTCTTTAGGAATTTCAAGAATCATACCCTATTTTCCACATGTTTCAAATCCAATTCTAACACTTAATACTTCTTAATTAAGCTGATGGCAAGTCAAATCCAACTTTAGAACTTCAAAAACTTTTCTATAACAAAAGTTCATTTATAAACCCTTAATAGAAATTCCTTTCTAATTCTATCTCTTTGGTGTTTTAAACTTATATAAGCTTTCCTTAAGCTTATATAACCCTCAAAGACTCAAATCCAACTTAAAACTTTCAAGAAATCAAAAGCTAAATCAAACTTACCTTTGCTCTTGGCTTCCACGTGATGAAGAAGAAGAAAGGAGAAGATAATTCTGGAGAATTCTCTCCCTTTCCACGTGTATATAATTCCATTTTTTTTCCTTAAATGATCAAATGACCATTTTACCCTTTATTTCCTTTAATAATTACTAAATAACCTTCATCATATATATCCAATAATCATTGAACTACTTCATTCTTCTACTTTAGTCATCAAATTCTGAAACTTTATAATTTGGTCACTAACCCATAATTTGGGATGTTACAATAACCATATGATCATTATAATCATTCAAATTAGAGAAGGAATGTAGGTCGATGTGACCCTTCTCATATTTTTCATCTATTAATTTTATGAAAAAGAGGGAGGGCTCAGTTATTAATAATAACAAAGCCTAGACCATGATAAAGCATGTGAAATCCAGTACAAGTTGGCGAGTTTTCCTTATATTAAGGGAAGACACCTGCATGTGGAATTTAATTGTTTTCTAAAAGCATTTCAATTACTCTTTTGGGGCCAAGGACCCTCCACCCCTCATTAAAATTTTAATGTCGAGGCCCAAAATTGACCATCATGATGGAACAACATACATCCAACACCTATTCATAAATACCGATATTCAATGATAAAACATTTTTTTTGGGGGCTTAAATATACACTTAACTTATGAAGTACACATTTTCTCAAATTGGTACCTATGTATGGAGTGAAAAGATCATCAATGCATTGACCTTTAAACAGGGTTGTGGGGGGCTACTCGTGCACTTTGTCACGGCTCGAAGTGCGGTTAGCTAACAGCCATGGTCAGTATCATCGGTTTGAAAAAGAGGATAACTTGTAGCTTGACCATGGAACTCTAATGCCATGAAAATCCAATGCCTCTTGTCATAGTTCTACCTTCAGCCATTGATATAGACATCGCCAGCATCATCTGCTCCTCGTAACTCTCGGGAATGATGGGTTCGGGGAGATTACAAAAACCGGCCCTTGTTTCAGCTTGCTGTGGTATTGTGGAGATTGCGTCGACATATTCTGTCACATCGGAGCTTTCATAACTAGTCCCTGCATCAGCAACTTCTGATTTATGATACATGTCAACCGGAGTTTGTGCCAGAGGATAGTACTCAGCAACTCGGTCCAAATTACTGCTGCTGCAGCCGGGAAGCATATCAAATGCTGGCATGTTTATGTTATAATTGAGAGAAGATTCTCCAGTCATCTGCTGACGCTCAGCCAAGGCAGCTAGTGCACAAACAAGACCACCGGAAGCAGATGATGATGAACCAGCCACTGTGGTTGTGGCAGGAGAGAGATAGCGATCGCTTGAAACATATTGTACCAAAGAAGCAGCTTCTCCGCAGTTAGAACTTCTCAGCCTGCTATCATCCTATATCATTAGTTCAAGGAATCAAGTCAGATGGGATCAAATTTATGACAATGAAATCAATTAAAGTAGGCAATATACAAAAGCACACTGAGAAATTATACCTGAATTGACTGCCAAATTGCTTCTGTGACCATCATGTCCTCAAGATCCAAGTCAAAATCATCCCTGAAATTTTTGGATTTGATACAAGATATTATAGAAGATTCAATCAGATTCTTCCTGGATCATAAATTCAACAATGAAAAAACTTATCTTCGCCCGAGAGATTGGTACTTGTGCAATTCTAAACTACACAATTTCTGTGCAATGTTTTTCCTCTTAAACATGAATCATGGATTCTATAATGAGGAAGGAAAGCTACGTAAAACTCCACCTACCTGTTTCCCTTCCTATTTGAGGGTTGTTCAATCATCAAGGCAACTTGGGAATCTTGAGAAGAATCTACTTCCTCCGGGTCCGAGGAATGAGCTGCAAATAAGAAGAAAATGCGAGGGGGGAAATTCAAGTTAGAAGAATGTCAGACGGAATCAAGAATCGCCATATATTGATACCTGCAACCAAACTATTTTCGACTTCTCCCGATGCAACACAGATTGAAGAACTTAATCCTCGTCTTTTCTGCATCCTCTCTTCTTCATCCTGAAGTTCACGCTGCCTCATTCTAAGTTGTGCTTCTAGGACACGTTGTTCTTCCTGCCAAATTTAAATAGAGAAAATTAATCCATTTTCTATCTGATGAAAACCATAGGATTTACACCTTTCTTAGCTTCTCTGTGAGAGAGCAGGTGTACTTACAATTTGCTCTATCCCTTTTTCTTCCTTCGTTTTTACACCTCTATACTCCACCGCGTAGTTTGGAGTTTTGCAGAAAGGACACCTCAAAATGTTAAAGAATGCAAATAATTGGAATACAAGTACATAGACAACTAATTAAACTGAAATGTTTTATGGTCAAGTTCATTAATGTGAAGGATACTGGGTAGGATGGGCCGAATTTGGATTCTTCATCTGCAGAAAACACTCTGGTTCAAATAAAATGTGTCATAGTTCCAATCAGCAGTATAACTAAGAATCAGTCAGAAGCATCAATGATGGTTTACCTGTACAAATACTTTTCAAGCAACATCTTGATCTGTTGAGACTTGGATAATACTAAAATCAAATGGGGGAAAAACCAGAAGGTATCACATTAAAAAACTAACTCAAAGTAGTTAAAACTAACATTCAATGAAGAGCCTTAAAAAGAAAACAAATACTACATACCAAAAAGCAAATTGGGCATTCTTCAAGATCAGAACAGCACTCTTCATCCCCGGGATAACAAGGAGCGAGCTTTGATTCAAGTATCAGCTTTCTCAGCTTCTTAATATCCACATCTATATCTAAATCCAACCCCTGCGGACGTGTATACCTCTCGTCCACCACTTGCTTCTTCCTTCCCAACTTATTTCCCATCGATAATATATCGAATTTGTGTCCTAGAAAATGTTCTCTTCTTTTTCTTCTTCTTCTTCTTCTACTTCTACTTAGTATTATTTGTTTCTTCTTCTTCTTCTTCTTCTTCTTCCTTCTACTATTTGATTATTTGCTTTACTCAAAATATCACACACATTATGAACAAATAATCAAATAGCACCTAAACCTTCAACATAATGAAACTCACCCCCAAACAATTCAAAATTTGAATCAAAATTGACAGCAGTTCACTGTGTAAAATCATGCACCAAGAGTCCTGCAAATTCAGCAAAATATTGCTACAAAAGTAAACATAGAAGCGAATTAACAATTTCAAAAAGAATGCTTTTAGTATGTGAATTCCCTATAAAAATTCAGTGAGAAAACCCCAATTATTGTATAACTAAAAGAAATGAACTTACCAAGCTCTCACAACAGAACTAGCCAAAGCGTGCTTCTTTCAGAAACATTAGCATACATATGACTAAACCCTGAAAAACAAAACAAAGATTAAAACTTCAAAGCAAAACCATTTCGAAAAACAGATAATTTCTATAGGAAACAATATGCAAAGCTAACCACACAAAAAAAAAGATAGAAACTTTCCTAATTTAACTGTAGACACAGAGGATAGAAATTGACCTTCAAATCCCGTAAATGGAGTCTGAGGAATTGAAGCTCGAGACTTTAAAGGAATTGAAGCTCGAGACTTTAAAAGAAAAGCAGAGATTTTGCAACGCTAATGGAAAAAAACAAAGCACAACTTTCTAGTTTCTCCTGTAAAAATATAGAGATTTTTCATTTTCTTTCTTTATATATTATTTGTAGTAACATTTTTTTATAAGCAATATACATATAAACATGCATTGGTCCATTCAGTGTCTCTGATTAATTTAAACTAAATATTATCTATCATATTTTTTTTAAATATATTTTACTCGTTAGATTAATTAATATAATTAATTAAGTTTAATTGAAATTGTTGGTTTTTAATGGGGAAAATAAATTTTGAGAAAATAATGGAAGAATAGTAGGGGAAGAAAGGGATTATTAGGAAAGGGGTGGAGTCGTGGAGGAGAAAAAGAATCAATCTTCCTTGTATTTCTCTTTCAAAGAAAAGATCTTCAACCACTATCCTTTTCTTGTGGGAGTGGTCTGGATTATTTATTTCAAAAGATAAATTTATTTTAATTAAAATAAAACTAATCCTTCAATCGAATAGTGACACACAACACAACATACGATACTAGTAACACGTGATATCATTAGATTTGAGGATTAAATTTATTAAAAGTATGACTAAATTGAGAGAATACATAAATAACAGAGATCAAATGTATGATTATATCAAAATATCACGTCACCTAATCTGTTAACTGTTTACGACAGCTAACCCGTGATGATTACATCTTAATTAAATAAAAACGAAAGTGATCATATACTATATTTTTTTTAAATCAATGAACAAAATTAAACAAAACATAAATATAAGTGATCAATTATGTAGTTAAATTATCGTTCATTTAAATCATTTGAAAATCATGGTAACCGAGGGGAAATATGGATTTAGGAAAACCTTGATCAAAGAAAATTAACATTGATTAAAGATTTTAATTTCAGAAAATCAAAGAGAATTAACTAGTTACCATGAACGAGCTCTCTCAGAATCGTAAGTTACATTTAGAAAATAGAAAGAAATCAGCAATATTGTGCAAACATCAAAATCGATATAAATAATATCTTCTGGATTGAATTTTTCATCATTCACAGGACAAAAAATGCCTCTCCAAATTGATTTTGCTCTACTTTTCTTTTCGGTTTTTTTCTCGGTTTACCTCCCCGCAGTTCAAGGTGCAAGAACTTTCAACGTTAGGGAGTACGGAGCCATTGCCGATGGTCGAACCGACAATCGAAAGGTATTTGCAGCTGACATTTTCGTGTATCATTTTGTCGCTTCTTTCGATTAGTTTATCTGAATGCATGTTGGTATTTAGGCTTTTGTTCGAGCATGGACCGACGCCTGCAATCGAAATGGAGTTTCGATTGTGTATGTACCCAGAGGAGTTTACATGTTGGGAGCAGTTGAATTTTCGGGTCCATGCAAAGGTCCCATAATATTCTCGGTGAACGGACGTTTAAAGGCTCCGATGGGAGCTTCATCGGATGCTGAAAACTGGATAGCGTTTCAGTACGTAAATAATTTGGTGATGAAAGGTGGTGGAACACTGGATGGTCAAGGTCCTTCTGCTTGGTCCTTGAATGACTGCCAAACCAACCCTAATTGCAAGCAACTCCCAACTGTGAGTACTTTATCACTAATTGACAAGTCTACAAGTATATAAGATCCATTAGAGTCAAATTTATTATCGTACAAATGTATTTGTTTATGAATAATAATCATGATCTTAGGTTTGACACTCGCATACAATAAAAATCATCATATAAATCCTCATGTAAAATCGAGAAGAAATATAGCCTTAAAATTGTTCGTCTTTTTCATTAGACCAATTTCTAACTAATGCTCTTGAATTGTCATCACCAAAAAATCATAGATTGTGATATTTTACTCAAATCGAAAGAGGTGAATTAATAGAGGTTTGTCACATATAACACATTGTTAACATCAACAATTAGGGATGGGATGGGGTCGTTAATATCAACAATTAGGGATGGGATGGGGTCGGAGCCTGACCCAAAAAAATTATAATTTTACTTTATATATGCAGATATAATTATAATAATGCATCTTCCATATATTATTTTATTCAATTAAACCCCTATTTTTATTGAACAAAATTAATATTTTTAATAAATATATTATTTTGATCATGTCGGGTTTAAATTTTATCTCAAAAAATAGATTAGGTTTGAATCAGGTGAAAAATGTATATTTTTCAAGTCAGGTTCAGATGTCGAGTCGAGTTAATCGAAAATCCGATCCCACCTATGTCCATCCCCGTCAACAATAGTTATCTAACCTTTTATTATCTATTATTTATAGACTCTCAAATTTGACTTCGTGACCAATTCGAGGATCAAACGCATAAGATCAGTCAATAGCAAGAACACTCACATCGGATTCTTCGGATGCAATAACGTAAACGTGTCGAAAGTTTCTATACTAGCCCCGGACGACAGTCCCAACACCGACGGTATCAAGATCGGCAGCTCGACCCACATCCGAATATCACGTTCCAAAATAAGCACAGGCGACGACTGTGTCGCCATCCTTTCGGGGAGCTCGAGAATCGACATCTCCAATGTTCACTGTGGCCCCGGACATGGTATAAGCATAGGAAGCCTCGGCAAGTACCAAGGTGAGAAGAACGTCGACGGCGTGTCCGTCAGAAAGTGCCTTTTCCGTGAAACGGAAAACGGCGTTAGAATCAAAACATGGGAATCTCCGATTCGAGTCACCGTTTCGAATATATTGTTTCAAGATATTTTAATGGATAGAGTTCTGAACCCGATCATTATCGACCAGACGTACTGCCCTATTTCTTCATGCAATCAACAGGTAATCATAATGATCTGTATGTCTTCATTCTACTTTACTTATTTTCACCATGAAATTAAACATTGTTGTTTTGTTTGGTTTTTTTCAGACAGCTTCTCATGTTCAAATCCGAGATGTTACGTACAGGAACATATGGGGAACTTCACGATCTCCGGTTGCTGTTTCCATGGAATGCAGCAAGCAATTCCCATGCCAGAACGTTGTGATGACCGACGTCGTTTTGGCTAAATTCGGAACTCGTGGATCTTCTAAATCTCTTTGTTCATATGTAAACGGTCGTTTCTTCGGAAAACAACATCCTCGGCCTTGCTTTTAGTTTGCCTCTTAGACGGTCGTTTGTATCTATCATTTGTTTGAGTTGAACGGTTGAGTTTTAATCTTAATTTACATTGTCCTTTATTTTTAAGTAATCTGTTTGTGTATCCGATGTTTTTAAAGAAATATTATGTTTATGTAATTAATTTATTCTTGTTTTTGTATATTTTTATAATATTGAGATATTTCAGCAAAGTAATTTATTAATGGTACTTAATCTTAAGTTGTGTTTATAGTTAAAAATCTCTCTAATTTTTTTTTAAATAGGGGCACTTTGTATTAATAAGGATACAAAGTACATCAACCCAAGGACGTCATTAAAAAATCTCCCTAAACCTATTTGGAGGAAAAAGAGTATGCCATGGGGTGGATAATTACATAAACCAAAAACTATCAGTACATCAATCGAAATTTCACCCCATTCAGACCAACATAATTCATTCTGGTTGATCTGAAAACCAACCTAATTTACAATACTCTACCATTGCTAGCTAAACCGAAGAACAACAGATTGCTAATAAGCAATACAACAACAGTGACGCACAAAACATAGCAAAACAGCAAATTCGTCTTGACACCTATATTCCTGATAAACTAATTCAAAGAGAAGACTTCAACCATGGCAGCATTCAAATATAAAGGACCTTGGACTACGAACAAAATCCAACACACACGGAACCTTCAATGGCCACAAGAAATTCATCCAAACTCCTATCTGCAACAGAACGTTATCGAAAATCTCTCTAAATTTATTTGGAGGAAAAGACTACACACAAAACTAAGTGATCAAATACAAAACAAAGATTACTCCGCACATCAAAATAATCACAAAAACAGAAGAAAAAGAACGCACAGTGTTGTAGAAACTACAAAACCAAAATAAAGCAAATCTAGAGATTTTGTTAGTTAGTCGAATGAGCAATGATATCAATATTATCTTATCTTGTATAAGTTCGAATCCCGACATTTATCTCAAAATTTTAATATCTCTACCTAATAAATAAAAAAAATTGAAAAGCCTAAAGATATTTTTTTTTGGGTAACAAATGAAGATCCACATTGGAAAAGTTTAAAACGTGTATTAATTACGACGTCTTAATAGAAAGTGAATAAAAAGATTATATTTATATGGATTAGAATTAAGATTATAGATTTAATATTTAAAAACGGTTGAAAAATAATATTTTTATACTTATATGAATTTGAACACAAATCAATTTATTAAATTTAAGAATCATTGTTCTCAACTTTTTCAAATTTTATAAAATATTCTTTTTAATATAAAATGAACAACAATTTTTTATCATTTTTACTTTTTACATATTTTCATGGATATATATATATATATATATATATATGTTTGTTCGAAAATGGACTGTATGTATATTGTATTTAAAATTTCCGTCTAAATTAAATTTCAATGTAAAAATAAGGAAGACGATTAACCCTAAATTACAAAATACTTCATGTATAATTATAAATTAGTTAAAATATAAACGTAAATTATTTAAAACAAAATATTAATTAGATTAATTTTTATAATCTTATTTTTAAATAATAATCAGATCAAATATTAACTCTAAATTAAAAAATTCTAAATTCTTTTACTTGCTTTGAAGTCGTCGCCGTCACTGTTACCGTCGTGGCTGTTGCCGCCGCAGTCGCTACAGTTTGCATGATTTTTGTCTTTACAAATGATATTTATAAGACGATTTTTATTTGTGTATTGTACCGGTTGATTATAATTTAATTTTAAAAAGACGATTACCCTGTTTGTGGATAATCTACCAAAACAATTTCATTGGAAAGATCTATGGAATTTGTTTGCACGTGATGGATGCTTGTTTTGTTGGGAAGCTAAATTGAGGGGGAGACGTTTTGGCTTTGTACGTTTCAACAAAGAGATAGATGCAGAAAGAGCAACTGAGAGATTAAATGGTTTAATGGTCTACGGAAATAAAATCAGTGGGGCCAGCTAAATACAATGGTCGGGCAATGGAAGGGAATAGATCCAAATATGGAAGAACTAGAGAGAATAGGAGGAATAAACATCATGGATTCGATTTCAAGAACAGGGAGACAGAGAACATATACAAAACGAAGGGTTATGTAAAACAAGAGTAAAATTTGGAAATGTGCAAGAGGATTCAGGGGCATGTGATTCAAAAGGAGCTTTGGAGCTTGAAGAGATGTTTGGTGGGGGTAATCGATACCATCTGCACAGTAAGTAGCTAAAATCTTGACTTCTGACAAGCGTCGTTTTACTCGTCAAAATAAATTAAATCTTCTTCTCAAATAAAATAAATATAAATAAATATATATAGTGAAAGAGGGTCGATCCACAAAAACTTAGGTGTTCCTGATGTAGTGTTGTGTTTATCTTATTCCAAACGGAAAAATGAGTAGAACGGTTGTTGTTCGTGTTAAAAAGTCAGAATTGTAGAATTGATGAATTCAATTCTTTGGTAGGGCGGTTGTTTTGAATTTGATTAGCATGGCGCGGTTGGCAAATTGGCGGCTAAATGGTCAAATTTAGGCAGCCAATTTTATTGAAAATTGGCAAGGGATAATTATAAAATTGAGTCCTTGAACTTTAGAGTATTTACAAGATTAGTCCTTAAGCTTCAACTATAAATACCCTAACTCATTTAGCTTCAAAATCATCCCAAATCATTTATTTCTCCCACTACTAAGGAGTTTAGAGAGTTTTCTTGTGAGTTGTGAGTTTTTTGTAAACACCTATAAATTTTCTCTCTTTAGTGAAAGATCTGCAGTAGTCCGGAGACGTAGGCATAATTGGCTGAACTCTGTTATCAATTTCGAGTATTATTTTTCCGCTTTTATTTCGCATTCTCACTAATCTGGTTATAGGGAAATTACTCATATTCGTTTATTTCCCAACAACTGATATCATGAGCTTTTAGTTGTAAATTTTGTCAATTTTTCTGTGAGGTTACTATTCACATGAATAGTGAATTTCGTTAATAGAAAAATTTGGTCGGCGATACAAATTTGTCGACGGAGGTGTTCTAATATACGGTGGTTCGCGAAAATTGTCAGAAACGATCTAAAAGAAACCAGATTCGAGTGGGAGCGAAGGCTTTGAGAAACGAAGTTGATGAGCTCAAGAGGGAGCTGCTCATATGCAAGGGAGCAATGAGTGAATGGGATGCACTCAAGACCTTCTTGGAAGGACTTAGACCAGGGGTGATGCTCAGGGGAGAGCAAGGTGATGCCCAGAGACTTTCAGAGGCCATAGCTGTAGCCGGAAAGCTGACTGAGCTTGCAGGTTTCAAGCCAAGTAGCGATGTGTCGTCCAGGCCCATGCCCAGAGATAGTGGCAATAATGAGGGAGACTGAGAAAAAGTGTAGCGGGGAGATAGTAGAGGAAGCTCTTTGAATGGCCAATGTGAGCCATCGACTGTTAATAGCCAAGGAAAGCCATCGGGAAAGAATGACAAGGCTAAGTCCGATGCGAAGAAGAATGTGAGCAAAGAAAAGTTAAAGTGCTACTTATGTGATGGTCCTCATTTGATTAGAGGATGTCCCGAGAAGCGTCGGCTTACAACCATCATGAAGATGATGGGAGAAGGAGAAGTAGCGGGAATTGGCGCGGTTGTAAGTGTTAAAGCTGCCAAGCCAGGGAAAAGACTTGGTTCGATTAAGGGGGTCAATACGGCCAAGCAAGGATCGAGATGAGGCAAGGTTGTTGATGTTGAGGCGGTCGAACCCAGAAGAAAGTCCGATACGATTGCGGGCGTTCAAGCAATCAAGGCAGGGGCAAGACTTGATGAGGCTACATGTTCCAATTTAGCCTAATCAAGAGGCAAGCATGGTACGACTACAAGTTCTCAAGTAGTCAATCCAGGATCGAGACGTGACGAGACTGCGGGTGTCAAAGCAGTCAAGCACAGGAAAGAACCTAGTACGATAGCAAGAGATAAAACTGTCAAGCCGAGGGTGCAAAGTGAGCAAGTTCGCTCACAATGTGCCAAGATGGAGGCGTGGTCCAAGTTGAGGCGTCTCAAGCATAAAGGGGCACTTAAGGTGTATGTGAGCCGATTTAGAAGACTCATTCTCAAAGTCTCGAGTTTGACTGAAGAAGATGGATTCTTCACCTTCATGTTCGGATTGAAGTCGTGGGTGAAGAAAGTGTTGGAGCAAAGGAAAGTTAATGAATTGTCTAAAGCCTTGATAACCGCCGATTCCATCAAAGAATTTGGAGTCAAGAAGAACAAGACTTCCAAAGCAAAGCCAAAAGCTGAGGGTAGTGGCAAGAGATTCTGTGATGAAGGCAAGTTAGAGGATGAGGAATGTTGTTCCTCGAGTGGCATAGAAAATCCACTCAATGATGAACCATATGGGGAGTCTGGGGGAGATGTGTGCAGCCTTGGCACAAGTTCAAGTGTCAAAGATGCTAAGCCGAGGGTAAGAGTCGAGCAAACGAGGGGGCACAAACTTAAGATACCATAAGTGTTGCGAGTCATCAAGGTGATGGATAAGCCCATGATCGAGTTGTCCAGAGAAGAGGACGACTCAATACGGTTAATTTTTTTCCAAGGCAAGTAGAAGCCAAGTGCAGGAGGAGTTGTCCATGTCCAAGGAGTTTGCCAAGCATGTTCGTGTAGAGAACATGGCTTCAGAGACCATTATAAGAGAAGGGTCGAAGCAAGGGCTTGCCGAGGATGTTCAAGTGAGGAACAATCCTTCAAAGATTAATAGACAAAAGTCGAAGGGAGCCAAGACGTTGAGGGACAAGGCAACCATGGAGAAAGCGCTCCATAACAAGTGGGTTTACAAGAAGGTGACTACAGACAAACTGAAGTTGTGTTCAGCTTCAGTTGGCATACTAGAATAACAAGACCAGAAATGCTACTGCATCGATCGAGGTGTGAAGACATATTAAAATCAGTCTTCAAGTGGGAGATTGTTGAAAAGTCAGAATTGTAGAATTGATGAATTCAATTTTTTGGCAGGGCGGTTGTTTTGAATTTGATTAGCATGGGGTGACTAAATGGTCAAATTTAGGCAGTCAATTTTATTGAAAATTGACAAGGGATAATTACAAAATTGAGTCCTTGAACTTTAGGGTATTTATAAGATTAGTCCTTAAGCTTCAACTATAAATACCCTAACCCATTTAGCTTCAAAATCATCCTAAATCATTTCTTTCTCCCACTACTAAAGAGTTTAGAGAGTTTTCTTGTGAGTTGTGAGTTTTTTGTAAAAACCTGTAAATTTTCTCTCTTTAGTGAAAGATCTGCAGCAGTCTGGAGACGTAGGCATAATTGGCTGAACTCTGTTATCAATTTCGGGTATTATTTTTTCACCTTTATTTCACATTCTCACTAATCTGGTTATAGCGAAATTACTCGTACTCGGTTAATTTCCCAACAGTTCTTGTTCCTTGTTTCGAGCCTGGCTATAATCCCATGCGAAGGAGCAAAGAGGTCAAATGTCGATTAGGCCTAGATTGATGCACTCGATGAAGAACAAAGACGTTTCGATAAGGTGTAGCTTTCATCAGGATTGATTCTCCATCTAAGACTAATGTCTATTCCGATGTTATGTAGTTTTTTTCTTAGGCTTTGTTTTGTTGTTTCAACTTGGATCTGCTATCAATTTTTTAACTTTGGTATGACTCGATTGTTGTGTTTTGTTGCTTTGTCGTGAATATTTTCGAGGTGTTGTATCTTTCCCTAGTTAGGAGTACTTTTTTCCTATGAGTTGGTTTAGTGAGGTTTTTAATGAGGTTCTTAAATTAAGTCTTATCAAATAATTTTTTTGTCGAGCAAAAAAAAACTATTAAGCCATGGTCATGCATGTTTACATGGTCACCGTTGGTCGGAACATACAAACGACGGTAGTAGTAAGGACAAAGAATTTAGGATTTTTAATTTAGGGGTTAGTATTTAATCTAATTATTATTTAAAATAAGATTATAAAAAATGTAATTAATATTCTATTTTAATTAATTTACATTTAGATTTTTAACTAATTTATAATTATACGTTAATTAGTTTATAATTTTACAATTTTATAAAATAAATTAATGGTGCTTTTTGTTAATGGTGCTCATCGATTATCGTCGAGCGTCGTAGAATTTTCAAAAAGAAAGTCATGGAAAAACATTATCAATTTAAAATTCCATTATAAATCATAATAGAACGCTTAAGGGAAGAAAATCTAATGGATAGTATATTATTAAAATTGATTAATAGTTTTAATTTTAATATTAAAATAGAAAAAAAATCACCTATCATGTTAAAATAGGAAATAAATCACTGATATTAATATAAAAAACAAAATTAATTCAGAAAAAAAAAAACACCTTATAAATAATCAAGTTGAACCCTTCGATTATCACAACACAAGAAGTAAACAAAAGCAAGAAATTTACTAGGCAATGGCTCTCCAAACTGTGTTTGCTGCAATTTTGCTCCCAATTTTCCTTTCTATCTCATCTGCATCAGCTCAAAGTGCAAGAACTGTCAACGTTAGAAATTACGGCGTCGTTGCCGATGGTGGAACAGATAATGAGAAGGTATTAATACAGTACCAATACTGGATTCTTTTGTTGTTTCTCTGAACTATTGTTTATGTTGGAATATTTAGGGCTTTCTTCGTGCATGGAACGAGGCCTGCAATGGAAATGGGGCTTCGATACTCTATGTACCCAAAGGAGAATACGTGCTTGGACCGGTTGTGTTTTCCGGTCCATGCAAAGGTCCGATAATGTTTCTGATGGCCGGAGTTTTGAAGGCTTTACCCGGACCTTCTGATGTTTCAATTTGGATAAATTTTCGAAATGTAAATCTTCTGTTAATTAAGGGTGGTGGAACATTTGATGGTCAAGGACCTTCTGCTTGGCGTTTCAATAATTGTGCCAAGGACCCTAACTGCAAGCCGCTTCCAATTGTGAGTATTTTGGTTTTTTTTTCCATGACAAAAAATGGCTATCTTGTCTAATAATTATTATATGTTCTAATTTTAGAATCTCAAATTTGACTCGGTGACGAACTCGAGGATTGAATTCGTAAAATCAGTCAATAGTAAACAAACTCACATCTCATTCCACGGATGTGAGAACGTAAATATAACAAACGTTGAAGTACTGGCACCGGCCGACAGTCCCAACACGGACGGAATCAAGATGGGGAGGTGTTCCGGCATCCGGATATTGAACTCGAGAATAAGCACCGGTGACGACTGTGTAGCCATCCTTTCCGGGAGCTCGAACATCGAAGTTTCGAATGTTCGTTGTGGTCCTGGACATGGAATCAGCATCGGAAGCCTTGGCAAGTACCAAGGTGAATTGAATGTTCATGGCGTGACTGTGACAAACTGTACCTTTAGTCAAACCGACAATGGTGTTAGAATTAAGTCATGGGCATCTCAGGTTCCGGCCACTGCTTCAAACTTCTTGTTTCAAGATATTGTCATGGATAGAGTTCTAAATCCAATCATTATTGATCAGACATATTGCCCTCATACTACATGCGATCAAGAGGTAATTCTAATCAAATTTTTTGCTAATTATATATTCACCATTTTAATCAAAATCTTAATGTTCTAATCTTGCTTTTGTTTTTTCAGGCAGCATCTCATATTCAAATAAGTGATGTTACATATAGGAACATACGGGGAACTTCAAGCTCTGAAGTTGCTGTTTCTTTTCAATGCAGCAAGAAATTCCCATGCAAGAATATAATGATGGCTGACGTTAATTTTGTTAACGCTAAACGTGGATCACCTTTGAAATCTACGTGTTCGAATGTTATTGGTCGTAGTTTCGGACTTCAAAGTCCTCGGCTTTGCTTTTAGTTTGTAAAAACCTATATTTGCATTGTAGTTCTGTGCCGGTTTTGCTGAAGATTCTCAGTATATACAGTGTGTAGCTCTTCTGTTTCACCTCTTTAATAAAAAAAGTGTTTTTATAACTTCTTAAAGTTTATTTTTGTAGTCATTATTTTATAAAGGGAAGATTTTGTCACATTCGACGAATACCGATGAATATCATTAACGATGAACACCATAATTTAATTATAAAGTACTCAATGTATAATGATAAATTAGTTAAAATCTAAATGTAAATTATTTAAACTAAAATATTAACTACATTATTTTTATAATCTTATTTTAAATAATAATTAAATCAAATATAACTCCTAAATTAAAAACCCTAAATTCTTTTTTTCTTTGAAGTCGTTGCCATTGTCGTCGTTGTTGCTGCTACAGTAGATGTTATTGCCATCGCCATCGTTATTGTCGCTATTGTTGTTGTTACTACCATCGCCATCGTTGTTGATGCTACTGTTGCCATTGTCGCCATCGTTGTTGATGATACTATTGTCATTGTCGCCATCGTTATTGCCGCTACTGTTGTCATTGTCGATGTCACCACCGTCGCTGCTAGTGATGTTTTCATCGCCTATAATGCTCCGAAATACGAGTTAGTAGTTTGGGTCAACCTGAGACCTTTATGTCAAGCCAATTAGAGTACTTTCTAAGATAGTTGGACCAAGTTCTATAGGTATTAGGCTTAAGTAAGGCCTAAGAGTTAAGGGTAAGTGATGGTTTTAAGTAGAGGTAAAAATGAGAGGGACCAAAGATGTAGAACTTTTACCCATAGTTGGTTTTAAAGGTTATAAACCCCTTATTTAGCTAATTTCACGGAACTTTCCAAAAATATCTCTCATCTTTCCTCTTCTCTTCACCTTTCTTTCTTCTTCAAGAGAAAACAAAAATATAAAAGTTTCTTGAATCCCAAACCTAGTTGAAGAAACCAAGGTAAGAACCCTCATCCTCATCCTTCAAGCTTTCTTTTAAACCATAAAACTTAGGTTTTGGTTAAGATTGATGAAAATGAATTTTATGAGTTTTAAAGAATCAAGTGTTTAAGAGGGTTATAGCATCCAAAGAATCCAGGTAACACACTTATAGCTTTCTTATACCAGTTGTAGAATCATTAGAAAGAGTTTAGCTTGAAAGTTTAGTTTGCGCATGTTTAGTAGATTACATGTAGATTTCATGTTTGATGTTTAACATGTTTCTAAGTCTATTTATGACCTCTATAACTCACATAAGACTTAATAATAATTGGGAAACCTCAAGGTAAAATTGGGGACTTTAAAAAGGGTTTTAGAGTATTTTAGAGATTTTCTCGAGTGAAATATGCAGTATAGGTTTCGAAGCCCTGGGCTGGTTTCGAACCTCTTGTTTAGAATGACGTTCTGTCATGAAAATCTACTAAAAATCAACTACGCACGTCATGAGTTGCTTATCGTCATTTTTCTATTTTACAAGTCAACAGAATTCTATTTTTATGTTTATAAATGATTAATATCTACTTTTATTTTCTTTGCAGAGGCAATTAGAGACTTTTGGAGCTCAAATGGAAAACCTTGAGGACATGCTTAAAGAGATGAACACCTTTCTTTTTATCTCTTTAAGCATGTCCTCAAGGTCTTCCCTTGAGGACCAAGAGTCTCTAGTTAACTGTTAATAAGGGGTTTTGAAACCCCTACCTAAAATGTCAAAAATGGCATAAAACATTGTCCAGGAGGCCCTAGACCATAGTATAACCATAAAGGGGATCAAAAATACGTAAAACACTAGAATAAGTGTTATAGAATATGGTTTAAGTTCTGTTGCAATTGATGAAATAACTATAGGGGTGTCGATACTATAGAGTGTGTATCGATACTGTAAAACCAGTATTTATGCCCAGGGTATGGTTCGAGCTTAAAGCAAGAGGAAGTGTAGAGGTAAGTGAGGGTATCGATATTTAAGGCCATTATCAATACTAAAGGTTAAGTTTGGGATTTAGTTTAAGAGAGCTTTAAGAAGAGTTGAGGTTTTCCAAAAGCTCATAATTACTCCCTAATAAGACTACAAGTGAGAACAATATTAAAATGTTTAATCAAACTTAGAAAACGTAAATAAAGTAGGATCAAATAAGACTAGCCTTGTTTGATTCTTGAGAAACGATTTGGACACCCGAGTTCTTTAGTTCAGGGAGTCGAAGTATAGATCAGTCCGAATATATCCTTAGGTAGGGCACAAAACCCTTAAAATAGACTAACTAAGGTCGAGGCATGCCATTCGCAAAGGGTGTGTTAATCAGGGGTATGGTGTACGATGTAGAATTATAGGGCCTATATCCTCGGTATACTAGAGGAGTGTGTGAGCTCCGAGATGCAGTAATCCTTCAGTCGCACCATGATGTCTACCATAGCGTAGAGAGTGAGTATACGAGTATACTCACTATCAAATCAGATCAGTAGACTTGATATCATAAACCTTTCAGTGATATGAAGTTAGTATGTTTTAGCTATTATTATGGCGCCAAGCTAGTTAGCTTAGCCTTTGGATGTTTTAATTGACAGGTTAGTAGATCGAACAATTGAAGAGCCTTAGAAAGAGGCTGAGGTCTAGACCCAGTATAGAGCAGAGTACATCACAAGTTTTTTGAAGTACATGCATATTCATAAACCCACTTGTAATGTTAAGTTGTAAAGTCAGTTAAAAGTTAGTTTGTATATTTCGAAATGTATTTATTTATTTATTTTTTGAGGGCCCTATGATGTAAAAGTTTATTATATTTTAAAATAATTACTTTATTTAAATGGTCATTTCAAGTTAGAGAAAGAAATAAGAAAGTTGGTCAGCTACTCCGGTGGCTCCATGTAGCACCCAGATCGGTCTACTATATGTCATATTGGTCTAGTGTGTTATATTTAGTGGTATCAGAGCATAGGTTTAGGTGTTCTTAGGACCTTTGGGTCAGTGTCGGTAAAGATTTATAAGTATACATACCCTAAAGAGTTATGACGTACTTCTGCATCTGAAATAACAGAGAGCTCAGGCCACAGTAGAGAGGATATGCATGAGAGAGCCTCCCTAGCTGGTGATTCTACTGATACGAGTTTAAGGTGTAAGTTTGATGGTTTAAGTTTAGGAAGAAAGTCAGGACTAAGATAGTGGAGTTTAGTGAGAGGCCAAGGGTTTAAGGATCCCTTTAGTGAAGGTTGGGTAGAGAAACCAGGAGGTTGAGGAAGCAGTTGGTTAGCATAGAGGAGTATTAGTTCATAGTTGCGCAACAGAAGCCTAGAGGTTGACTTTAGTAGAAGGTTTAGTGTTAACAGTGAGTTGTGGAGTGTTATAAGAATTTCCTCTATCCATTATGACCTTATTTAGGAGAGATTTTCACCCGATGACCTTAAGATAGGGGTTACAGTTTTCATTTCTTAGAGTTAGATGTTTTAGTCGTCAAGATCGGTCACAAATGCTTAGTGGAGTTCCAGAGTAAGACCTTTATATAGGGAAATTTAAATGATGAAATTTCTTTTAGGAGGGAAGAGTTGTAATAACCCGAAATACATGTTAGTAGTTTGGGTCAATCCGAGACCTTTAAGTCAAGCTAATTAGACTTCCTAAGATAGTTTGACCAAGTTATATAGGTATTTGGCTTAAGTAAGGCCTAAGAGTTAAGGGTAAGTGATGGTTTTAAGTAGAGGTAAAAAGTAGATGGACCAAAAATGTAGGTTACCTATAGTTGGTTTTAAAGGTTATAAACCCCCTTATTTAGCTAGATTTCACGAAAATCTTCCAAAAAAAAATATCTCACATCTTTACTCTTATCTTATCATTTCTTATTCCTTCTCAAGAGAAGACAAAAAAATAGAAGTTTCTTGAATTCCAAACCTACTTTGAAGAAACCAAGGTAAGACCCTCATCCTTATCTTTCAATTTTTCTTTTAAACTCTAAAACTTAGGTTTTGGTTAAAATTTATGAAAATTGGTTTTTATGAGTTTTAAGGAATCAAATGATTTAAGTTATTTTAGGAAAGGATTTGAGTTATAGTGAGTGTATTTAAGTTTCATCTAGTATCTAATTGAGTAAATAACTCATTTTATACCTTGTTAGTGAAAGAGGTTGAAGAGAATTCAAAATCCAGGGTAAAAGAAAGGTGGATCCTAGTTGTTTGAGAGAGGTTATACATCCGAAGAATCCATGATACTTATAGCTTTCTCATACCAGTTGTAGAATCATTAGAAAGAAGTTTAGCTTAAAAGTTTAGTTGAGCATGCTTAGTAGATTTTCATGGTAGATTTCATGTTTGATGTTTGAACATGATTCTAAGCCTTATTTATGACCTCTATAACTCACATAAGACTTAATAATAATTGGGAAACCTCAAGGTAGGAAATTGGGGACTTTGGAAAAGTTTTAAGAGTGTTTTGAAGAGTTTTCTCGGGTAAAAAATTGAATTCTGCAGTATAGGTTTCAAAACCCCTAGGTTGGTTTCAAAACCCCTTGTCCATAATGACATTATACTAGGGAGGTTTCGAAACCCCCGCTCAAAATGTCAAAAATGGCCTAAAATGTTGTCTGGGAGGCCCTAGACCCATTATATAACCATAAAAGGGATCAAAAATGCGTTAAACACTAGAATAAGTGTTATAGAAAGTGTTTTAAGTTGGGTTACAATTGATGAAATAGCTATATGGGTATCGATACCTTAGGTGTTTTATCAATACTGCAGGTGGGTATCGATATTGTAAGGCCAGTATCTATACCAAGGGTATGGTTTGAGCTTAAAGCAAGAGGAAGTGTAAAGGTAAGCAAGGGTATCGATATATTAAGGCCAGTATCGATACTAAGGGTTCAGTTTGGGCTTTAGTTCAAGAGAGATTTAAGAAAAGTTGAGGTTTTCTCAAAAGATCATAATTAATCTCTAATAAGACTACAAGTGAGAACAATATTAAAAGTGTTTAATCAAACTTAGATACGTAAATAAATTAGGATCAAATAAGACTAGCCTTGTTTGATGCTCGAAAAACGATTCAGACACCTGAGTTCCTTTAGTTTAGGGAGTCAAAAGTATAGATGTAGTCTGAAGATATCCTTAGGTAGGGCGCAAGGCCCTTAAAATCGACTAACTAAGGCTGAGACCTGACACTCGTAATGGGTGGGTTAATCGGGGTATGGTGCCCGATGTGGAATTTCGGGGGCCATATCCACGGTAGACTAGAGGGTGCGTGAGTTCTGAGATGCAGTAATTCCTTAGCCACTCCATTATGTCTACCATAACATAGAGAGTGAGTATACGAGTATACTTACAATGCAGATTATATTAGTAGACTTGATAGCATAAACATTTCAGTGATATGCAGTTAGTATTTTAGATTAGTAGATCGAACAGTTGAAGAGCCTTAGAAAGATATGAGATCCAGATCTAGTGCTAAGCAAAGTACGTCACAAGTTTCTTGAAGTGCATGTATATTCATAAACCCAATTGTAATGTTAAGTTGTAAATCCAGTTAAGAGTTAGTTTTTATATTTCAAAATGTATTTATTTATTTATTTAAGGGCCCTCTGATGTAAACGTTTTATTATATTTTAATATAATTGATTTATTTAAATGGTCATTTTAAGTCAGAGAAAGAAAAGAAAGTTGGTCAGCTACTCTGGTAGCTCCTTGTAGTACCCAGATCGATCGACTGTGTGTCGTACTGGTCTAGGGTGTTACATCGTCGTTGTTATCGATTGCTATCGCCGCTGCCACCGCTACGTCAAAACAATAATTTTTTTAAGATTTAATTTAGAGGTTAATATTTGATCTAATTGTTATTTGAAATAAGATTATAAAAATAATGTAATTAATATTTTATTTTAAATAATTTACGTTTAGATCTTTAATTAATTTATAATTCACGTTGAGTAATTTATAATTTTAAAGTTTTATGAATTAAATTAATGGTGATCATCATTAGTGGTACTCATCGATACTCGTCGAGCGTTGTAGAATTTTACTTTATAAAGATAATTATTTTATGCAAATTTGGTAATGATATTTTTTTATACTAGGAACGTTAAGATTATGATAAGATGGCGTTTGGATCAAGAAAAATATCATTACCAAAGGGAATAATCTTTTCCATAACTTCATACCCACGTTTGATTCAAAAGCATTCCCACCGAGAGATAATGAAACATTATCAACAATTCTTTTTTTTTTTACCTTGAATTCACAACAATCTCATTCCCACTTTTCTTAAGTATTATATAATTTTCTCCCTTTTGGATAATATCCCTGAATAATATAAGTATTTCAAATCGAATCTTCCTTTTGTATATAATTACACGAGTATAAATTTTATTTTTTAATGATTTATGAATATTTTAATATTTATTATAAAATAATATGATGCATATAAAATAAAATTATATCAAATTTTTTATTTTATTTTGATTGTTTTTACGTATGTGTTCGATTCAAATTTTATTTTTTGTATATATTTTATTACATGTATTGTTTAGGATTAATTTTCATAAAAGGTTTTCATATTATATTTTTTAATATTTTATATTAATTTTTCTCATATAAATTGATATGATATTTAGTTTTCCAACTCACACATGTAGCATAAATAAAAAAATGTAGCAATTAACATATATTGTTGAACTTATATTTTAATATAACAAATATTTGTAAAATTGATTTTGGACTTAATCAAATTTTTTAAAAATAATTCAAAGTCCAAAATAATTTGAAAAATATGTGTTCTTAATTTCTTTATATATATATATATATATAATATTTTTGAGTTAATTAAAATATGTTTAAAGTGTTTAAAATGTGTTTAAAGATTTTTAAATATGAAAAAAATATTTCGTCACTATTTGGCATTGTTCATGATAATGTTCATACACGGGTATTGTTCATAGTTTGAAAACTTTGTAAGAATTTTGAAACTTTTATTAAGATTTTCGAAACTTTACAAAAGCTTCAAAACTTTACACCCAGAAATTGTTTTAACGATCCGATTTTCTTCAATGGTCATATTTTTAAGTAAGAGTTTCGAAACTTTCATCAAAGTTTCGAAACTTTCAAGAACAGTGTGTTTAGAAATTTCGAAATTGCATGTGCAGGTGGCCTTTATTGCATTTTTTAAAGCTTCCCAACGGTTATAACTCATTTAGAACGGTCATAAACGGCTAGCAACTCGTTCCACACAATAAAAACACTCGAAGGACACTTGAAGAAGGTTACTACACCAATCCAAGCTTAGAGATCAAGGGAAAATAGTTTTCATTCATATTTCCTTCATTTATCTCTTGTACGTAGTGTGTAGAGCTTAATTTAATATCTTTTATTTTTATTCTTGTGAGCTTAAATTTTGAAACACCTACCTTGAGAGGTTTCTTATTTACATTTCTTATCATTGTAAAAGGGAAGTGGTTATAGTTTAGTCTTGAAAAACTAGAAAATTGTAAAGTTACTTTTGAGCCTAGAAAATAAAAGAATAAATTAGTGAATTTGTTGAAATCCTTAGTGTGGAACAAAGGTGGTGGATGTAGACTTTGATTAAGAAAGTCGAACCACTATGAATCTTGCGTTTAATTTTATCTTTTATTGCTTCCACACCAAATATTTTTAAAGGCCAATTCACTCCTCTTGGCGTCGGTTGATCGTAAGAACCAAATATTATAATTGTATTTTGAATAAATAAATTACGAAAAAGGAAAAAAAAAAAAAAAAGGAGAAGTATTTGAGCAAACAATCGACGTTTCTTCCCATTGGGAGATCATCTTCCTCCACCCATGGATCTTAAAAGACTTGGTTAATAAATTGAAGTAATACCGGATGAGTAACCCGTGGCCTCATCGGTGTTTTCGAAGGATTTGATAGTTCAAATCTTGAAAATCATAATCCGAAAACAAAATCATGGAGTTGAGATGTGTACCGGTGACATTAAAATTAGAAATTAAAAAGCAAAAATCAAGCTATAAAAGAATCTACAAGTAATACAAAAGCTTATTCAAGGCAACATATTTGTAATAATTGGAAAAAAATATCATGTGTTGAAGAAAAATAGTAAAAAAGGAATTATGGAGAAACATTATCAAATAAAAATTACATTACAAATCATAATAAAATGATTATAGAATCTAAATCTAATAGACAATATATTATATTAACCATTGATTGATACTTTTAATTTCTTAATTTAGATAAAAAAATATTATCTATCATATTAAAATAAGAAAAAATATTAATTTAGATAGTATATTATTAACAATTGATTAATAATTTTAATTTCAACTACGTAAATTAAGAAAGAAAAAATCATCTCTCATGTTAGAATTGGAAATAAATCACTTATATTGATCCAAAAATGAAAAATTAATAAAAAACAGCTTATAAATAATCAAGTTGAACCCTTTGATCATCACAACACCAGAAGTAAACAAAAGCAAGAAATTTACTAGGCAATGGCTTTCCAAGCTGTGTTTGCTGCAGTTTTGCTCTCAACTTTCCTGTTTATCTCATCTTCATTAGCTCAAAGTGCAAGAACTATCAACGTTAGAAACTACGGTGTCGTTCCGGACGGTCGAACAGATAATGAGAAGGTATTAATACAGTACCGATACTGGATTTTTTTGTTGTTTCTTTGAATTATTGTTTACGTTGTAATATTTAGGGTTTTCTTCGTGCATGGAACGACGCCTGCAATGGAAATGGAGCTTCGATATTGTATGTGCCCAAAGGAGAATACGTGCTTGGACCGGTTGTGTTTTCCGGGCCATGCAAAGGTCCGATAATGTTTCTGATGACCGGCGTTTTGAAGGCTTTACCCGGACCTTCTGATGTTTCAAATTGGATAAATTTTCGAAACGTAAATCTTCTTTTAATCAAAGGTGGTGGAACATTTGACGGTCAAGGACCTTCTGCTTGGCGTTTCAATAATTGTGCCAAGGACCCTAACTGCAAGCCGCTTCCAATTGTGAGTATATTTTTGTTTATTTCATGCAAAAAATGGTTACCTTATCTAATATTTCTTATATAGAACCTCAAATTTGACTCGGTGACGAACTCGAGGATTGAATTCGTAAAATCAGTCAACAGTAAACAAACTCACATCTCATTCCATGGATGCGAGAACGTAAATATAACAAACGTTGAAGTACTGGCCCCGGCCGAAAGTCCCAACACCGACGGAATCAAGATGGGGAGGTCTTCTGGCATCCGGATATTGAACTCTAGGATAAGCACCGGTGATGACTGCGTAGCCATCCTCTCCGGGAGCTCGAACATCGAAGTTTCGAATGTTCATTGCGGTCCTGGACACGGGATCAGCATCGGAAGCCTTGGCAAGTACCAAGGTGAACTAAATGTTCAAGGCGTGACCGTGACAGGGTGTACCTTTAGTCAAACCGACAATGGTGTTAGAATCAAATCATGGGCATCCCAATTTCAGGCAACTGCTTCAAACTTCCTGTTTCAAGATATTGTCATGGATAGAGTTCTAAACCCCATCATTATTGATCAGACGTACTGCCCTCATACTACATGCGATCAAGAGGTAATTCTAATCATTTTTTTTTGCTAATTATAAATTCACCATTTAATCAAAATCTTAATGTTAAAATCTTTTTTTTTCAGGCATCATCCCATATTCAAATAAGAGATGTTACATATAGGAACATACGTGGAACTACAAGCTCTGAAGTTGCTGTTTCTTTTGAATGCAGCAAGAAATTCCCATGCAAGAATATAGTGATGACTGACGTTAATTTTGTTCACTCTAGACGTGGATTATCTTTGAAATCTACGTGTTCAAATGTTAATGGTCGTAGCTTCGGCCTTCAAAGTCCTCGCCCTTGCTTTTAGTTCGTAAAAACCTATATTTACAATGTAATTCTGTCCATGGTTTTTGCTGCAGATTCTCAGTATATATAGTGTGTAGCTCTTCTGTTTCAACTCTTTATTAAAAAAAAAGTTTATTTTAGCAGCCATTATTCTATAAAGATAATTATTTGTAGCACATGTGGTAAAAATATTTTTTCTACGAGCAACGGTAAGATTACGACAAGTGTATTTGATTCCTCCCTCGGCAAGACCATGCTTATTATAATCATAAACTAGCAGCAAAGAAACCCTAATGAGATTAACGTTGTCTAAACAAAATGATGGAATAAGATTAAAAACAAATCTCGAACCGAATCATAATCACAATATCTTCCGTCAAAAATGAAAAACGATTGCGAAGAAGAAAAAAGGGGAAGTATTCGAGCATCCCTTCGACATTTCTTAAATGACTTGGTTGAATGGTTAAAGCAATGTCGGACGGGTCACTCGGGGCCTCACCGGTGTTTTCGAAGGACTTACTCTGAAAAATGAGAATATAAACATTACAGCATTAGCTTTAGATGACAATCATTGAATTTAAAGCAACAAGTTCAGGGACGCGCACCTGATGGGCTGGGATCCTAGCACCATCCCACTGCAATTCAGAGCTATTATGGCGCTTTCAGCCTGTCCATAAAGGAAAAATTATCGGACAACATTATGGAGATATTATTACTTGGGAAACAAGTAATAAAGCACAGCTTCGTAGCGCCGCACAAAAGCATTGTTATGCTCGTTGCACAGACATTCAAACAAACAGACAGTTTGATCGTGCAACATTTTGCTATAATATCTATGATGTTCTGCAACATTTTAATGAAATATGATGGAAGCCATTCGACTCATGCGATCAGTATCATACATCCTTTACAAGCTACCGTTTTTAGAGATAAAGAGGAGAGGTTCAAATAAAAAACTATGAACCAATTGCAGATATGTTTCAAAATTAGGAATGAAGGCTGATTTTAGCCGAACATAGTACTACATTTAGAGTATACAAGAAGAAATTAGAGCAGATAGATTTTACACAAATAGTTTGCAAAGAGACGTGGATGACATTATAGAAATAAATTTAACATAACAGGTATTGTGGTATACTGGTTAGAACCAGAGCCAAAAACATAGGATTTCAAAGTATCATAAACATAATCCGAACCCGGATCTTTTTCTAGTCCTGAAAATATGAACTTACCATGGCAAACTCAACAAAAGCAATACGGGTTGAATGCACGTTATCCCCTAAAAGCCTCAACCGAGTGACCTGAGAATTAAAATAAAATCGACGTCAACCTTCAAAACCTTACTACCTTTAGTCTTCTAGTCGAAAACAAACGAAAGAGGCATGCATAGTATCGACACAATACTAACCTCACCACAGGCTGATTCAAAGAAATTCTTCACTTCAGCTTGGGAAACCTTGAAGCAAAGTAAAAATATTCTAGTAAAAAGAGATGCCAACCAATTACAGCAGTGATAAAAGTTCAGAACTCGATCATTAATGTAAGCAAACACAGGGTTTACCTTCTTGTCAATATTTGTACAATACACCGTCCTGGTGCACATTTCCCTTTCATCTTCTGACTGCAATTGTAGTTATTGTAATTAACGGCAAGTCGAAAAAGAAAACTATAGAGAAACTTCAATAGCTATTTAGTAACATTAAATGTCATTGGAAAGTGAACCTATATCCCAAACAGAGACAGCTAAGAGCCGGAAAGTTACTCATCCATACCCGAGGGAGAAACGTGGGGTTCACAGGGAGGATGGCGGTTTTTGATGGCAAGACCCGAACCGGATAATACCCTAGCATTATCCCATTGAGGTTCAAAGCAGCCCTTGCACCTTCTGTGAAAACAAAGTTCATATAAAATGTAACATGTGAATAAATGTGCATTGATTTACAAAACAAAAGTCCATGTCCTGTCCATAGCAGCTGCTTACCTTCATCTGCGAATTCCACGAATGCAAACCGAAGAACTGAATGCGGATCACCACAAACTCGGCAATCAACAACCTTCAATAATAATTTCCAACCCACTTTAGAAATGTCATACATCCAGAAATCTGCCCCATAAGCTATCAAAGAAAGTAATCCTATCAAGCAGTATCAATCAAAGCCACAACATCCTTTCTTTTTCCCGGGAAGAAAGGAGATACTCAACCCTCGGAATCAAATTCATAAGTTCTTTTGGCATTTTAATGGGGCTCTAAACAAAAAATCAAAATATGAAAGCAGAATCATGCCTTAATAAGATACAAAAGTGAAAAACAGAGAGAGAGATATGGAGCTAAATGATAAAGCTAGAACATTATTGTATATTATTCCACATGTAGCATGAGAGAAGAAATTAAGGTTGTAAATGAACCGAGCTTGAACAAAAGTTCATGTCTGCTTATTTATTTTTAAGCTTGTTTAGGTATGGTTCGTGATCGTTAAGGATTTCATCATCACGTTAATGTTTGTTTACTTAAATATAGAGTGTTTATTAAATGTTCGCGAACATATTCAAAAATATGTTCATGAACATATTATTGAGCATGTTCACAAACAATTAAAAATCTTTTCATGAATAATAAACAAACAAACAAACCATAAATGAACACAATTCTAAACTTTTAGATATAAAATAATCAAACATAAATACAAATATATATTATCTTTTATAGAAAAATATCAAATATAAATAAGCAAACTAATGGAGATTATAAATGAACTAATAAAAGAGCTTGTTTGTAAACAAAAATGAACCAAACACACCTCTATTCAAACCCATTCATTTAATAAACGGACATAAATTTTTATTCATATACATTAATTTAGCTTAATAAACAAACAGCTCACAAGTAGTTTGTCGAGCCCCGTTCATTTACAGCCCAAGAAGGAATGAAGTTGTGCAAGATGTGCATCACGGAGGAACAAACAGAGTTATAACAGAAACTTTAAAGCCAGAACTTTAACTTACTTGTCCACAATTACTGAATAAGCCAGCAAGTTGCTCTTCAGTAACCTGGAAGAAATGATTTTCAAAAGTGACTTCACCCAATCAGAATGAAACCCAAAAAAAGAAATCAGTGAATGGTGTCACCGGTTAAACTTACATTCTGATCAATATCAGAAACGTATACTGTTTGCCTAATACTATCATCTCGCTGAACTCGAAAAGCTTTACCATTAAGCCTTCTCCTACCTTGGCTGGAGTTGTTTCTTCTCTGAAAAACACAAAAACGGCCATTTACCAATGTAACCGAGGGAAATTAAAGAACAAATGCAACACCATGACATGTCAATATTGAGGTTAGCCTTTTACCTAAGTCTGTAAACTTTATTAATAGAGACCAAACAGTCTAAAAAAAGTTCAAAAACAGAGCAGCTGACACTAATTGAGCTTAACCTTATAAATGACAGCAAAACAGAAACCAGTTCAAAATGAAGAATTATATTAAACAAAGACAGGAATCGGACTGCAAATGTATAACCATTCGAATTACAAAAGTAAGCAAAATTTAGAACCCCAATCTATCCAAGCACTCAGAAGCATATCCATCAATAATCCACAAAACCCTCACAGAAAAGATGACCATTTTCCCAAAAAAAAAATAACACTAAGAATTAGCAAACACCCATTGCTCAGAACATAGAATTAAACAAAAATGTAATTTAGTTGAGAGAAAAAAATACCCTTCTGTTGGACTGATTCACATTTCCAGCTGATTTGTTATCAACAGGCACCTGATTGAATTTACTGTCATTTTTGGTCTGATTCTGATTATAAGATGACGGGAAAAACTCTTTGGCCAAAGGATTCAGCTTTGTGAACATATCAACCAGATTCTGAACATTGAATTCCTTTGATTCTGCTTTGGCCGTTTCCACCACCAAATTGTTCTTCTTGTCATTAGCAGCTGCGGCTACTGGCGCTGCCTCACCTGACTTGTCCGCAACTTCAGCCATAGAATCAAAACCCAAAACCCCCCAAAGACAAAATATATAAATAAAACCCAGTGAACAGAGGAAATTGTGATTGGATTTTTGGTAAATTTGTTGTCTTTATTTCTTCTTCCTCACTACAGAGCAAAAAAGTTCAGAGCTTTAGAGAGAGAAAAAATTAAGATTATCAATGTGCCTGATTAGACAATCATTGAAAATGTCTAGAAATGGAAAGAACAGTGAATTTGCAGATTGGGTTCTCTTTTTCTTTTGGAGTGATTTAATTAAGCTGACAAATATATCAAATCCAAAAAAGAGAGAGCAAAATTGGAAGAGACTGCAGCGAAGAACGTTAAGAAATGGGAGAATAACGAGTCTTATAACATAAAGATTTTTCAGTTAGCTTCCATCTTTTTTTCCTATAAAAATATATATTTTTTATAAGATATAAAAATATATTTCACATTTGTTAAAATTTAAATGTATCTAATAAAATTAAAAAACATTTTTAATTATTTAATATCAGATTAAGTTGGGGATATTTAAGTCCTGTTTTGTTGGGTAGTTAAGATTACAAGTTACTATTTATTTTATTAATTTATTTTTTCATCTTTAGAATTTCGATTTTAAGATCGAATTAAATCTTTAAATTTAGTAATATAAAGAATTTGAAATAATATTAATAAACAAAATTATGCATTATCTGTAAATTATAAGTTTTGTTCCTTGAAACAAAGTATTGAGAAATCCCCTTTGCATTGCATGCTTGCACAAGAAACCCCACAAAAAAATTTCCCTTTCAAATGCTCTGCTTTTGCCTGCTATGTACGCCACCCAAGAGAAATTCTTCCATGGCCTCCGATTTCGCCATCATCGGTCCGTCAACCGAAACTCTCGTCTCCGTTTATATTGCCTCGAAAAGAACTCGGTGCTCCAGAAGATCCGATAAAACACTCCTCATTTTATCAAGTGAAACTGGTTTCAATATAACACCATCCATACCAACCCTCATGCAGCTCTCCTTCGTCACCTTGTCCGTGTTTCCAGTGAGCGCTACTATTATCGGCCTCTCGTGGCGTTTTGTGAACTTCTCGTGCATGCGGATCGCGATTTCATAACCATCCATACCGGGAGTACAAAAGTCCATGAAAACAACCTTGTGCTCGTTAGAAACCACACGCAAACACTCCTCACTCGAGCTCACCATCGTTACATCACAGCCAAGATGCACAAGAAGCCCCTTGGTCACCTTCCGGCTAACTCTGCATTACAACATAACAACTCAATGCTCATATTCACTTGGCATCGAAGAAAGAAGTACCACTAATGCATAGGATATGCATACATGAAAAGAATTTGTAACTGAACAAGCAACTTGAATCCGACATATCTTATTACCGGTAACTGCGAGATATGGTCAAAAACATATTGATCAAATAAATAGGAATTAGCATGAACACAATGAAACTGACCCGTTCTCATCCATAACCAGAACTTTAAGCCCAGGAAAAGCTGTTGGACCGTGATTTGGTGGTACTTTAGGCATGAAGGCAAGTTTGGATTCATTCAACCGTTCTGGGATACCGAGTTTTACCATGAAGATAGCAGTAGATCCCTTACCAAGACCTTCACTCTCGATCCAAATATGTCCCTCCATGAGATTTACAAACCTGATCACATAATTAAAAAGGGTAAAACATCAGGCGGATAGCTGAAAAACCAAAAAACCAGTATAGGGGTTGGAAGATGCGAAGTACTCGGAAAAAGGTGTATACCTCTTGCAAATTGCAAGGCCTAATCCACTGCCACCAGAATTTTGTGTTGCTGTTGATTGATTTTGAGCAAATTTGGTAAATAACTTGGGAAGATCTTGTGGGCTAATCCCAATGCCTGAATCTTTCACCTGTATCATTAGCAAAAAAAAACATAAACATCAGCAACCTCTAAGATTAAAAAAATTACAACTGGCACCAACGGAACTAACCTGTACACGCAAATAAAAGTGATTATCGCTAGGCACAGGGAAAAATTCAGGGTTTCGAGAATCACTCAGTAATTCTGCTTTTGCAACAAAAGCCGTGATTGTAATACTGCCATCCTTTGAAAACTTCACAGCATTACCGACAACATTTAGAATCGTTTGCATCAGGCGCATCTCATCACCGATGGCATATTCGGGTAAGTCAGGAGCCAGGTTTAATGAAACATGAAGCTTTTTAACCGACGCAATGGGCTTGATCAAGTTAAGAACCTAAAACACAGTAAATGCATGTTACTAGAATGAAAAACACCGAGCAACAGTTATAAAAGTTTCCAGAAGCAGAAAATGAAATTCTACCTCTCTGAATACAACATAAAGGTTAAAAGTTCCAAGGTCTAGTTGAAGGCTGCCATCTTCAAGCCTCGAAAGATCCAACACATCATTTATTAGAGTAGAAAGAAGGTTACTACTCTTAAGAATGGTTTCAACCATCAGACGTTGTTCGGGTGTTAACTCAGTTTCTTGCAACAAAGAAGATAGAGCGATAATTGCATGCATTGGGGTTCTCATCTCATGATTCAAAACAGCCAAAAAATCATTTCGAGCACGGATTGCCATCTCTGCTTCTCTTCTGGCCAGATCAAGAGCAACATTCTGCTCCATAAGAAGATCCCTAGCCCTCATTGACTCCTCTAAAATTGCAGCATGCGAAAGAGCCACAGCCACCTGTGTTCATCATACAAATTTACAGATTAAGTGCTTTTAGCAAGCTGATATCCGAAGCATAAACAGCAATCTGAGAGGCATACTTATTAAAAGCAGGAAACGATAGGGCTAACCAAATTCCATAAATGATTAGTGTAATAACGCCATAACGGTGTCCAAATGAGAAGAGGTTGCAAAAAATATATAGTTTAGAAGTAGAACAGAAAAATTATACCTGATCAGCAACTACTTCAACAAGCTCCAGCTCGTGGACATGCCATTGCCTTGCACTATCTGAAGGCAGCATCAAAACCATCAAAGCATATCTTTTTGTTGAAAGTTCCGGCCAATCGTTAATATGAAAGTTAGAGAGATGCAGGAGCGGGACACGAGCTGCAACCACCTCCCCAGGCATGTACTTCCCAGCAGGGCGTATTCTTGCCACCGGACAATTAGGAGATATTTTCACCGCATGACTGCTACTAAATACTTGATTGATCACAGGAAGATGGATTGGTACAGTGTACCCAACCGGATTTTGTTGACGAAGAGTATACGAAAGTTGGAGCTCTAGCCCAGTTCGTGTCGGCATCCACAGGGCACATTCTTCTAGTGCCAATGTTCGACCCAATTCAACTAAAGTGGTTTTCAGTATCGTATGTCTATCCAAAGTGCTTCTGATCTCATGAGTGAGCATCCTAACATGTCGACCTGTTTCCTCTTGCGTACGAATCAGACCCATTTCTCTATCAAGCTCCGCGGCCTTATTCTTCAGAAATAATTCTCTAGTTTTAACACTCAATAAATCAGGAATAATATGAACCAGCATCAAGGCAGTTACACATGATACCACGGCAGTAAAAACCTTTGCAGTCATCATCACCATTGCCACAGTTCTTGTATGCAATGTAAAAGTCCACAAGTTAATGAGATGCGTTGTTCCGCAAAGTACTATAAAGGCACCAAACTGCACAATCACCCATCTATATGGAAACACGGCAGATTTCTTGACAAAATATATAAGCTCTAAAGGAATCGAAAAATAAGCAAGTGCAATGAAGAAGTCGGAAATATATTGATATTTCATCAACAGATCATCCGGGGGCCATTGTGGCTCTATGCAGTTGCAAGAAGAATCCATTCTGACTGAACCACCTAACCTTTCACTTGTTCTTCATATATCTGAAGAAGAAAGGTAGACTATAAACAATTCGCATATCCATTTGATTACAAGATAACAGGAAGATAGAATAAAGCATATACAATTTACATGCCCTAGATTTCATCATATTTACGCCACATCAAACATCAATACATCACATAATCCTACCCATTTTCTGTTCCTATTCTTTCCTCCTCAATGTCTTGCTAACCAAGCACACCCTCAAGCATAAATGAAAAAGAAACGGAAATCGAGCAAGAAATCTAAATAAAACCTAAGCTGATCAATAAAAGTACAAGAGAGAGTACTGTTTTGAAGTGCGTTTGTATATATGCTAGTGTATGTATAGATATACATATTATACGCGCACACAAGATTATGTGCAATAAACGGTTAAGAATAGACCAATAGGCATGATTTACAACATTGAGAAAGACACTTGACTACTTGGATCCCGCAAGACCTAACAAGACATTAAGTTTTCAAGCTAAAAAACGAAAAGGAACAAAAAGGGTTCCATCCACAAAACATGTTGAGAGCTAAAAACTAGCAGAAGGCATTTGAATATACAATTCATACAAATCTCTAATAACGGTAACACTTCAAAAAACATATCCAAGTTCCACAACCATGAAAAAGATTAAACAATCAAAACAAGTTACACTCTTAAGACCATTTCAACCACCCATGATATCCAATCCCAAATCATTAAAAAAATATTTCCTTTACAGCTGAAAGTAAAAGCTTGACCTGAGAAGAAATTGTGGGTTTGGGAGACAAGAAGGCAGCTTTGGATTACAAAGAAAAAGACCCAAATTTCCAAAACGTGAAACTTACCCAAAAAATCAATCAATCAAGTAGAACTTCTAGTTGAAACATCAAATCAAATTTCCCCCATAAGCTGCCCCACAAAAAGAAGCCAAAATTGAAAACCGTATAAAAAAAAAGATGGGAAGAAATCAAGTAAAATGAACCCGAAGATCAATATTACCCTGTTGAATTGTGTCTTTTTAGCAGCTTAATTGCAACCTTTTTCCCGTTAAGACGGCAATTGACGATCTCTCTATATATGCGGGAGCTTGCCTATGTAGAAAGGGAGTGGGAAAAAAAAGTCAGAATGCAAACACAAACCGGAAAGAAGTGGGCGGTATAATGATGCTGTCACCCGCCCGTGAGTTTTGTTTTGGTAATAGACGAACTGATCAAGAGACGGTTACCACTTATTGCTGATGTGGGACCCGCTCACTGAGGTCATGATGAACGGTGGTGATTATGTTTGAGTTTGACAGACGGGTAATTCTAGATTATTTTAATCTCCCCACTTGGCAATGCATTGAATGGCAACTTTTATTTCCTTTTTTGTTTTTAGTTTCTTAAATTGTTTTATTACTATTTGTCATGCTTATTTATATATAAAAATTTGAGCATCAACTATCTTATCTTAACTGCCAAAGTAACTGTTCTTATTTTCGGGTATTCTAAGTTTGAGCCTTAGAAATTATATAATATTTAAGCGTTTATTATTAAATAGTTAAATTTTTTATAATAAATATATACATAAACTTAAATTTCTTTAAGTGAAATAAAAATACATGAACTTTTTTAGTATCTTTGAGTTAAAGAAAACACGTTTTTAAACGAATTAAGCTAACGCGATGATTAAAGTGATGATTGTTGTCCTTAGAGATTTTGAGTTTAAGTATCAGCGTGTTGTGGAGGTATTTATGCATTTATTGTCAAATAATTTATAATCTTTATAAGAGATATTGTGTTGTAATTACCTTAATTTAATTAAAAATACACATTTTTAAATTTAAATAATAATTTTATATATAGATAAATATATCTCATAAAACTAAATTCAAACATGAACCAAACAAATCTATCAATAATTATTGGTATGTGATAGTTTCATTCATGTTTATGTCAATCACGTATGCTTGATGCAAACTCCTTTAGCTCATGAATGAAAAATATTGTAATATTTTTACAGATGATTTTAATTATTAATAAATTCTATTATAATTTTATAAAATATATTACTAAGAATATATATATGGAATATAAATCATGAAACAGATATAATAAACAGAAAAATTGTTTCGTTTAAAGTCTAGGGTTAACCAGGATGGACCTAGGTGAAGGGTGGTAGGATGGTCGCCCTCTAAAAATTTATAATTATTATATATTTTAGATTTTTTTATATATTTTCTATTAAAAGTTTGTTTTCGCCTCTTAGAATTTTATTACTTCGAGTTAATTTCCCTAAAATTTTATAAATTCAAATTTATCCTTCAAACAAAAAAGCAAGCGTTTGTCCTTCAGGGTTATAGTTTAAGATAATTACAAAGTAATATATATTTTAAATATTTTTAATTATTTAAAAATAAACGCTCAGTCATTTTTATTGTAATCACTGCTCGATGGTGCTCGAATTTAAGATCATTCCTTTAATCACTAGGGAATTTGGTTCGTGCCTTTTAAGTTATTTAAACCCATCCATTTTTATATATTTTATTGGACTATGGAAATTAAAGTTGATATTAGTGGGAAAGTGTAAATCAAATACAAAGTGTTGATTGGACCAAACCCTTTTTTCTTTTTCCATTTGTTGTTTATTAGAAATTTCCATGAGCTCCATCCCACCACCACCAACAACAAAAATCAACAGAAAAAATAAAAAATAAAAATTGACAACTCAGTGAGTTAGGTAATGCCATGAAGGAATCTAGACAAAGAATCTTAAATTACATTACATCTCAACGAAGAGCATGAACTATGGAAGTGCGGTTGGTTCTAAGCAACAGTGATGTGTTGACTGGCTCAGAACGAGTCAGTTTATTCACCGAGTCAAAACTCAAAGGCTTTTGGGATTTTGGACACGCCTCCATGGATGTGTGGTTGGAGATGCATGGACGGACACGTATTCAGGTGGAAAGGAATATCTCGACATGGGGATTACATGGCGATAGATGAAAGGCCTAGTGTCATTGGCGGCAGCTTCTTGGGTGTTGAAAAATGTTAAAAGATGGATTTGTCTTGTTTGATTTTCTTTTTCTATTGCTTTTGTGAGATTAAAACGTGACAATTAAAGGTAATAATAATGTTGACAATAATGATGGGCATCCATTGGCTATTGAACTTGACCTACAAGTAACAGAAATGACGGTTGTTGATTGGACACATGTTGAGAGTATCATGGTAAAATAAAATATTATTCGGTAAACTACGTTTATAGTAACTAAATTATCTATTTTAGTATTTTAATTTTAATTTAAATAATAATATTTAACATTTAGTTTTTGTTTCATTTTAGTACCTAGTATTAAAAATTTTAGTTATTACTTCATTTTAGTACACATGTTGAAAAATTAATGTTAATTTTTGAAAAATATTGAAAATTTATGTACTAAAACTGACCAAAAATGACAGTTTAAGTACTAAACGTGTTAATTTTTTAACGGGTGTACTAAAATGAAATGAAAACTAAACGTTATGTATGATTTTGAAAAAATAAAATTTAGGTACTAAAATGGATCAAATGATAGTTTAGATACTAAATACGTAGTTTATCCAAAATTTAATTAAAATTAGTAGTTTGAGTTTTAATTTGATTAATATTGCCATGGCATAACTATATATAATATGCGGGAAGTTTGGTGTTTTTTCCGAAAAATCACCAGTGATCGGTATATTTATCGATCTAACACCGGTCAGATTATATTTCCCGATCTAACACCCGTAGCAGTAAAGCGCACCCCTGAACCGCGCTATATGTTGATTTGGCACCACGTGGAGTATAGCGCGCCCCCTGTACCGTGCTATACGTTGACTGGGTTACACGTAGGGTATAGCGCGCGCTATACGCCACGTAGGGGTATAGCGCGGAATTAGGGGCCGCGCTATACGCCGTACCAAAATTATATTTAACACGGTCCCTGGTCTGCGCTATATAATAATTACGTATGCCGCGATGCAGGTCCCGCACCTTATATGTTTATAAATACCCTCCTCCGGTTACGTTTCTCACATCTCCTCTCATCTCTCCTCTCAATTTATAAATTAATACAATAATTCCGTTAACAAGTAATAATTCTGGCAATCTTCTCATATTTGATTTAGAAGTTCGTGCGATTTTTCGTTATAAGGTAATTTTGTTATAATTTTTTAATTATACTTATTGTTTATTTATTATCATTATTTGAAAAAATATTATACTAATTATTTTCAATTAATTTTTATGTTTGTAAAATTGAAAAGCGGGAGCATACGTCGAAATAGTTTTGCGGTGCAGGTAATAATATAAAATTATATTATTTAAATTATTTACGTTGATGTGTAAAAAATGTATTGTGTTATATTTTCGTTCATATATAATTTATTTAATCAGGTTTGTTTCAGTTATTTTTTTTTGCAGATATAATATTGTCGCACTTTTAAACTCAAAGAATGGCACGACTTTCAGGTATTGTTTATTATGATGGTGAAATTCGAGAAGATGAAACCGGCGTTGTTTTCGTATCAAATGAGCGTGTTAAAATATCATTCAAGAGAAACATAACTCTTGAGGAGCTGATAACGAAGATTTCGAGGAAGATTCATATTGGAAGTAGTAGAAGAATGTCGTCATTGCAGTACAGATTTCCAACATCATTGTTGCCATTAACTTATACATCGTTTGAACTTTCGAACAATGATGATGTTCAAATGATGGTTGAAGCTTAAAGTAATTATTCAGACGCCGCTATTGAGATGTATGCATATTTTTTTCAAGTGCGTGATATTCGGGGTCAATCATTAAGCTCCCACTATGGACTGATTGAATAAGTTGACAGTCCGACTACAGTAATGTGTAATGATTTTAATGTCATAATGGGGAGACATTCATCCGTAACTCCTTACGATATGTACCGAGGTGGGTCTACGAACAATCCGTATGGAAACACCGCATCCAGTTCAAGGGGAAGACATTCATCTGCAAATTTCTTTGACCATATGGAGATACCATCGACGCAACCATCTGTGCAGTTTCCATTTTGACACGATGGCTTCAAGCTCCAGTGGGAGGCATTCGACTGCGAGCTTTTTCGATCTCAATGTCGATATGCCTTCTAGTTTAAGGGGAAGACATGCAAATAGTAGGTTCTTCGACCTAAATGTGGAGAGCATGGAGGAACCATCATCTCCACCAGAAGAACTGCTTCGTGAGCCTGGTGCGGATAGTGTTGAGACTGGACTATTCATTCACCCAGAATCACCGCAATTCAACTCTGATGATGATGATGTAGATGAAGTACCAGGAAATGTGACACAAACTGACCCTCCTACACACATGTATGAAGTTGATTATGGTTCAATGTACGGGCCAAAATTTGCGGATATGCCTCATCTCGGTAACGATGGATATTACTCATCAATAAATAATGATGAGTTATCTTTAGGCATGGAGTTTTCAAGCAAAGAAGAAGCGATGATGGCTATCAAAAATTACAATATCCGTAATTTTGTTCAGTCCAGAGTCAACCGATCGACGACCGAAAAATATGTATGCTACTGTGTCCGACGCGAAAACGGATGCAATTGGATGGTTCGCGTATCGAAAATGAAGAAGAAAAACAACATATGAGAACTAACAGTATACAACGGTCCTCACACATGTTGTGCTGGAGGGGTTAACCAAGATCATCCCAACTTGGACTCTGAAGTGATATGTCAAGCCATCATGCCCATGGTAAAAGAAAGCTCTCATATAGCTGTTGCAGTGTTGATTTCAGCTATACAATCGCATGATGGGTACAATGTCTCCTATAAAAAAGCTTGGTTGGAAAAACAAAATGCCATTGTCAAACTCCATGGCGAATGGGATGCATCTTACAACGAACTTCCATGTTGGTTTAGGCTGGTGCGGACGTTGAATCCTGGATAATTGTGGACTTTGAAACCTCCTATGCATACCATAATTATCGAGTTCTTCGCGATCGATGCCAATTCTACTGGGTTTTTTGGAGTTACCCACAGTGCGTTAATGTAACATCTAAATTGTAAAACTTCAGATTTTGGTGATTTAAATTGGATATTTG